TATATATTAAAAACAGAATGCGGCACATTACATCAGAAGCCAGTAACCACATTTCTGGCCCCACCTCAATCAATAGAACTTCCTGCTTTGGCAATCGTTTATCCAGCTCAGCAGAATTCCCATTTTCTTACCTTAAAATCTTACCAGAGGAATATACAGCAGAGCCAGTCATGGAGATACATGTCATACCATCGTGGAAATAATCCCAGACTGGAGGAGCTGCTGAAAGCCTTGCAAGGTGCAGCTGACATCACTTGCAGCCACATAGCCACTCCAGCCATAAACATAGTGCAGTCTAGTATTTACATATTTAGACACTTTAGTCTGCAAATTTTTGCAGGTTTGGATGGATGCAGGTATTCCCTGAGAATCTTTATTTCTGTTCTTATGCTACCACACATTTTCAAATACACACTTTTCAATATGTTTCACAGCTGCACACGATTGGCTTCTTGTGCAAGGAAAATGAGATGATGGGAAAACATGTTGGCTGTGTCTACATTGGCGTGATTATGCGCAAAAGCGCTTGTGCAAGAAAGCCCGATGGCTAAAGCACATGCCAGTGTAGGCACTCTCTTGTGCAAATACTTTAACGCAAAAACTCTTGCATTAAAAGTATTTGCGCAAAATCTTGCCAATGTAGACGTAGCCAAAGGGGACAATGCTGAGTAAGTTTCCTCTCTTCCATGGAAATTTGAGGGAAGTCAGTACAGAGCTCAAAGCATGGATGATCAGGCCTCGGTGTTTGAAATGCTCTACTTATCTAAAGCACTATATTGTTGATAGAATTGTGTAGTAAGATTGCGACAGTTTTAAACAACGCTGCCTCTCTCCATCTGTAAACATACCCCCCTTCATCATTTTTTACATATGCATACAGGATGCAAAGGTTTGAACATTCTGTTATTTTCATAGTCTGGGGTTTCCAACCTATAGGAAAGAAAATATAGAAAGAATGCACTTACCATATAGCATTGTTTTATTTCTTATCTCCTGTGTGGTATCCTGTCTTCAAGATTGAGACCTTATGCAGTGTCTTGAGATGATGGAAAAGGTCTCTCTCCCATGAGTTTGAAATTCTTTAAAAAAGTTATCGGCAGGGAATGTCTTTGTACCAGAGCTAGTGCTTCAAGTATCCTCAAAACTGGTGCTGTATTTTTCATATAATAGAAAGGAGAAAATCCTTTCCTCCCTTTTATAGTTAGAATTTGATTAAGGGATATACTCAACACCTTAGCTCTCCCTGGAATGGCCTCTGTATATTCTCACATGTGGAATCAAGCTGCCTGAGACAGGGGTTAACAGAATCTCCTGGGGTGTTGTGTCCATCTCAGGCTGATCATCATCAAGAGAATTGAGATGGCATCAAAGTGGGAGGAGCCCCAAATGCTTTTTAGTTCCTTCCATTATTTTAGGGATTCCTCGGATAAGATTTGGAGGAAGTGAGAAATGTGAATGACGACTTTGGACCAACAAGTTGAAAGGAACAATTCTTCCCTTTACCAAATAACGTTATAACTTCTGTTTTCCCAAATCAAGCTTCTGTGTTAATCTGGCATAGCGGTTTGTAAAATGGGTCCAAATTCACCTCCTTTTTGAGGCACCTTAATAGGCTTTTTTTCTTTTAGCCCAGGTTTCTTGGGCCTTATTTTCCCATGTACAGACGCTGATGATAAAAAACTAAAGTTTGTAAGTTAAATAATGCCACAAAAATCCAGAAGATATTATCTTGGTCATCTTTCTCTTCTGAATAGTAACAATAGACATTATAGATACATTGGCAATATTTGGAACTATTTGTCCAACAAATTCATACAGTGAAACTGTCATGTAAATAGAAACAGTCTATTTGAGGTGGGAAAAACCCCACTATCCTAAAAAGTAAATACAATTAAAAAATGGAAATTTAACAGCAGATGCATAACATGAGTGCAGCAAGCATGCTACTTGCAAACCTCAGACAATTAATAGAAGATGAGCCGGTGACTTTCCTTATCTGTGCAAACAGGTAATTTAAAAGAAAGCACTGGTCTCACCCACGTACTGTTTAATCAGATACTGTGCATTGGGGTTTCCATAGTTTCAACAATTTAATTCATCTCAAAATCTTCAGATTGGGTAACCTACAATAATGGTGATTGGGACATGTTCCCTCTGGATGCTTTTTTGTTCAGTTGGCATGGCTACTTCACTTAGATACTCTTTCCAGATTTCTTAACTATCATAAATATAATCCAGGAAGAACAGAAGCCCCTATAAACAACACCTTTTAATCATAGTACTCTCATACATGCTGACAACTCAACATTAGACCTTAGACTTGCTTTGCTTCAAATACTATTTGTCTCAATTCGTACAGACTGTTATTAACACCAAAGTATGAAGATTGAGGCCATTGAAAACTTAGGCTAAACCTGCTTTTCTCATAATTTCTTTTCCATCTAAAAATTATTATCCTGTATGGAAGTCACTATGTAATATGAATAGAAAAAATATGGATTTCAGATCATGTAAATCTCAATTTTTCTCTTTCTTTATACACGTTAATACATCACAAGAAACTAAACATAAGATCTTAGTAATTAATAAATCTGTATTCTTGATTTTTGTATGTACCAATTTAGGCATAAACATATGATTATCTTCATATAAAGGATTTGCCATGAGAAATATGTAATATTAACACAAACAGGAAATAATATGTGTATGGTAATAAGTGACACAGTCATTTTATACTGTAAAGAGGAAGACTGGTACTTAGGGTGAGTTATAGTTTCTGCAGTAGTTAACAATCAACTATATCCAAATTCATATATAAGAAATTATGAATCTAGGAAGTATCTGAAGTAGGATTTATGAAAGCTAGAGATCTAGTTCTATTCAGTGTCTGCTTATTAAAATGTTATTAAATACTTAAAGTGCATACACTATTTGAAAATATTTCCTTTTAATATTTTATTAAGCACATAAAGTAATTTTGTAGTATTGTCATAATTTGCTTCATTAAGCTTTTAATATATGATTTTATTATATGATTTTTTCCTTCCATTTAAGTTTAACAAGTAATTGTCTTAAATACTTTTTCTAGTTTAAAGAATTAATTGAATTTAATTAAAAGAGAATAATTATTTAAATCCTACCACAGTGAATTATCGCACAGTAATCTAGAAATTGACACTTACTGTTTGCTTCTTCTGCTGTGTAAGTTATATATGTTATCTGTTTCAAGAATCTCAGATAAGCAACCAAGCATGCATGTCTTTCTGCATATATATATGAATACACATTCTATAGTCTGGACTTCCAGAGTCACAGGGAAAAGCCGGGTCCCATGCTCAGCGTCTCCTCCCCCACCTCCCAGAGCTTCCAGAGTGCCACAAATAGCTTATTTGCAGCATTCAAGCTCAGGGAGGGAGAGAGAATGGGGGGCACTTGGGGAAAGAGGCAGAGTGACTGTGGAACCCGCAGCCATCCTGCCTCTTCCTCCAAGTGCCCCATCCCGTCCCTGCCAGCAATACCCCTCTGTCATGTATATTGTCAAACTGGGCAGTCTCTGTGACCAAGGTTAAATGGACACAAGTCAGGTATCAGAAATGGTAATACACAAAAACATATAGGAGCACATTTTAACCTACCAGGGCACTCATTAGTGGATTTTAAAGTAGCCATTCTTTGACAAAGGAATATCAGAAACCAACTACAGAGAGACACTACAGAACTGGCCTTCATATGCAAATTTTACAGTCTCTCTCATGGTCTGAACAAAGACATGAACTGGATAGACTATTATATTCAACACCCAAATGACATCAAAAGCTAAGTATGGGATACTTACACCCCACTCAGCCTCACTACATTTGACAAGTATTTTTTGCCCCCCTCTCCCTTCTTTTTCTGGTAAAAATTGGGAGGTTCCCCTTTTTTCTCCACTCTTATCTGAGGAAGAAGGTTTTGCCCATGAAAGCCCATGATACTATATATATATATTTTAGTCTCTATCGTGCTACAGGCCTACTCGTTGCCTATTGCTCTGTATTAACGTTGACACTTTATTTTTCAACTCTGTGAAGGATTTGATGATGCAGTTTGTGTGAATGATTCTCTACAACAAAGGACCTGATCCCACAATAGAGCTTCTCATTTAACAGGGCTTAGTCACATAACTAAGGGTTTCAAGAGCAAGTCTTAAAAATGTATTATAAGGGGAGGAGGTCTGTACTCATTGTTCACTGTATCTTTTACTTAGGCAGCACACGTCACTGAATTAATGTCAAAATGGTGGGTACAGAAAGCTTATGTAATTACCAGACTTTTTTAAAAAGGTATCACGTTTCATTACAGGAGAGTACTATAGAAGTACTTGATGACAAAACTTTGATCTCCTTTCTCTCTCTTTCTTTAATCCATAATAGGAGCTTTTCCAGCTGGAGCTTTGTATGCCCGAAAAGACTTACTTCAGAGACCCACACATGTTGCCACCAAAACTTTCCAAGCCTTGCGTATATATGTGAATGATGAGCTCCATGAACTCTATGTGGGTTTGAAGATAGCTGAGAAGTTTCTGAAACCTGGAGGTCGACTTGTAGCGCTTTCTTTTCATTCATTAGAGGATCGTATCATCAAACGATTCCTTCAAGGAAGAGATGTTTCGGAAAAGTCCAATCTTAACATAAGACAAAAGATAAGAGAAGGACAAAAGAAATATTCAGAACAAGATGTGGAAGAATTCTCCAGTGAAAAATCCAACTCTAGATGGACATCTATTCAGAAAAAAGTCCTTACTCCACAGGCTGCAGATATTCAAGAGAACCCAAGAGGACGGTCTGCCAAACTAAGAGCTGCAATCAAACTGTGAAATAGAATGAAAATAAAATTGTCTGCTATTCTCTTTATATTTGATGCTTTTGTAAATTTTAATCTTTCAGGCAATATAAAGATGTTCAAATTGAAAAATAAAGGAAAGAAAAAATAGACATCTTAGGAAAAGTCTGGTTTCTATAGTCAATGTTCAGTTTTAATTAAGCTGTGGAATTGAAACATGAAACATCACATGGTAAAGCAGTCTAAATCAATGGCTATACTTAATATTAATTTATTTAGAAAAACCATTTTTAATAAACGAGGCCGAGAGTTCTGTAATAGCAACACTTATATGTGCAAATGAAACATATAGCTACCCAAAAATCCACAACATCAATGGTTCCCATTGAATGATTCCAACTGTAGTCCCGTAATTAATCATATTGTGCATATATTCTTTAAAAAACCTAAAATTTGAAGTCTGTTTAAAACTTTTTGTATGAGAAACATCATAGATTGAATATTAAGGGTTTTTTTACATTTAAACAATTTATTTTAAAAATTTACATAAAAAGTAGCTTAGATTTCATCTGCTTTAACTTGATCCAGACCTGATTCTTATCTCTTACCAATTTTATATTGGTGTAAGCCCAGTAGCATCAGTAGGCTTGTTCCTGGTTCATATGAGATCAAATTACATCAAAATTAGGTCTTTCAGTGTCTAATATACTGAAATAGCAATATCCTAATTAATTCCTTTGGTAATATTTCAGTGCTTGATCTTGGGAAATTTCTCATAATATATGACATTGGATGATGCAAATCACTTGTATGAAGTAAGAGGTGAATAATAATGGGCAGTTTATACTTTTCTGAAACTGTAATGTTTTCCCCAGTTTTCATTATACATAGTATCAAATATTAAACACAAACATTACTCTTCAAATAATACTATTTAATGTTGACATCCGATAAAAAGACACTGTATTTTATGTAGTTATTTTCCCCTCCAAACATTAAATATCAAAATACAGGACTATGTGTATGTGTAATATACTCTCCGTCAGATTCTGTTTGGTACACAGAGAGGAAGTAGTGCATTTTATCTCCCTTACAGTGGTATGATGAATTAATAGGACTAAATGGGTACGTCTAGACTACAGGGTTTTGTTGACAGGCTTTGTCGACAAAGAGCGTCTAGACTACAGTCAGTTCTGTCGACAAAGCAAGCCGCTTTTTCGACAGAGTCTAGATGCTCTCTTTTGAAAAATCACAGTGTGGATGCAATAGCATCTTTTATCAACAGAACTCTGTCGACAAAAGGCGTTATTCCTCGTAGAATGAGGTTTACCGCCGTCAACAAAACTGCCGCGTTACTGTCAACAGAACTCGGCGGTAGTGTAGATGCAGGTATAGTTTTGTTGACAAAAGTCTACTTTTGTCAACAAAACCCTGTAGTCTAGACACACCCAGTGTGTTTCACTTATGAAAAAAATATCCCTCATTGAACATCGAAGTAGATTTTCAGAGGCTGAAAATTCCTATATGTGTTTTCTTGAATTTTTGCTTTCAACCTGAGCAGCATGCATTTCAACACAACCAAATACAAGGTCATACATCTAGGAGCAAAGAATATAGCCAGCATTTAGAAGGAATGCAGATACACTATGAAGATCTTGGTGGACATAACCATAGAATCATAAAATCATAAGGTTAGAAGAGACCTCAGGAGGTCATTGAGTCCAACCCACTGCCAAAAATAGAACCAATCCCATCTATATCATCCCAGCCAGAGCTTTGTCAAGCCGGGACTTAAAAACCTCTAGGAATAGAAATTCCACCACCTCCCTAACCCATAATAGATATCCATTTAATCTTTAGCCCCTAATAAAGTAGTATAAAGGACAAGTAGGATTTTTGTATGTATAAACATGACAATAACATGTAGGAGTATAGAAGTGGTATTACCTATGTATATGGAAATAGCAAGGCTATTACTAAAACACTGACTCTACCTGGTGTCCATGCTTGAAAAAAGATATTGAAATATTAGAAATCATTCAGAAAACACTACTGGAATGATTTGAAATGAAAAAAAAATATGCTGCCTAGCAATAGATTTAGGTAGTTCAATCTCTTTGTTAGTCTAGGAGAAGGTTAAGAAGTCATTTGATCCATTTCTGCAAATACCTACCTGAATGAAGATGACACAGCTCTTTAGTCTGGCTGAGAAAAAAAAACATAGCTAGATGAAGGTGCATATTTTTAACTGTGATGGTGTTTAACCATTGGAAGACTACAGCTAGGGATGTGGTAAATTCTTCATCACTTGAAGACTTTTTAAATTGAAGACTGAATATCTTGCCAACAGATATGATGTAGCTCAAACAGAAAATATAGGTTTGATGCTGGATAAGGTCCTTGAGCACTGTATCAAATGATGGCCAGGTTTACATGATAATAGTCCCCTTCTGTCATTAAAAATCTATGAATGGATAACAGTCCAAAGAAAATGTATTCTCTTTAAGTTTTTTGAGCGGATTTTATTCAAGCCTTATGAATAAAAGGTTTTATTCAAACCTTTTGGGAGAAAAGGCCAGTTGAAGTAAATATGGGTTTATTGACATGGAGGGGTAAAATCCTTGTATCTTTGAAGTTGTGGGGGGGCGGAGTTTGCCATTGACTTGAATGGGATCACGATTTCACCTTTCAGTTATGTAACTCAAAGCATTTTTAATTTTTAGAAAAACATCACCTCCCCTACCTAACTTCAAGTTATTGTAGTCTGCTAGAAAAATATTTACCATTTGATATTATTGTTGCTGCAGTCTGCATGTCCACTAAGTCATATAATCAATTTTATTGAATTAAAAATCAAAGCTACCATTTTATAGTCCATATTCAAGCAAACAAAGGACTGCATGTGCTATCCATTTTTTGTGTGCATCATCCTTTACATTGGATAAGTTGCAGTCAGTTTTTTGGAAACCTTTACAGAAGTTGCTAGTAGTCTGGCAAAATTATAAACTAAAATGTCAATATTTATCCATAGTAATTTCACTGTGGTATCTGAAACAATTTAGTGTTTCTCTGTTCATAGAGACAAAAATAGGAAACCATGCTATTTCAGATACTACTATGTGTAAATTCCTAGTTTAATTGCAGCTATAGAACAAGGCTTTCTATGCTCCATTCTTTCTAGAGCAGTTCTGATATTAAAGAGGCACTCAAAAGAGGTATTAGAAGACATAGTCCTACTCCAACAGCCTGTGCTCTGAGGAGATGAAAGAAAGGGGAAAAAAACTAGAGAAGGCGTGCAGCACATAAAAATGATGGGCATTGGAATGTCTTGTTAAATCCATGTTATTGTTGGCTTTACTATTATAACCTCTGCGTAAAGATTTGAATCATTTGTTGTAGGTGTTATGTCATAAAGATGGGAGGATTTGAATGAGTAGAGAGTAGTAACTATACACCCTAATTGGTTGCCTTTATTCCACTTGATGCTTAGTTTCAGGGATGGCAATAAATGGTTCATTCTTGTATTTCTTGAGTTCCCAAACCTCCCAGGGCAGGCACGGCTTTCAATGGAACGTTGACAATTTGTACCAGCGGAGGATTTGCTTCATATACAATTACATGTGTTCACTGGGAGACCATGAGAGACTATCCTTTCATCCAGTGCTTTTTACTGTAAAACTACCGGTAGGCAAATATCTAGATGAGCTGATGTACCCCTTGGAAGACCTCTGCATGTGCCAGGGGTATCTGTACCTTGGCTGAGCCACTGTACTAAAATAAACAACAGAATATATTAGGTGCCATGAGTGAGGTACATGATTTTATATAGATAATTTAAGGCAATGGTAGAAATACATCTGAATCTTTAAATACAGATTTGTTTATTTTTTTGCTGCCTCTATGCATTTAGAATTGTTACAGTATTTGAAATTCTATTTTTTTACATTTGTTTGTAGAAGATGATTACAGATTAAATGAAAAACGCAAAGACTTTTCTTCCTCAGAGAGCTAAAATAATAAATTGTCTGCCAATTTTTAATCAGCATGCTAGTTACTATTTCTGCTTTATGTAAAATATTCTGTTGTATAACATTTGTCTTACTATTCCAAATGCTGTACTTATATCTTTGAAAAAATAGCAGAAGATTTGGATTTCTTATTCAACAAGTCTGGAGTAAAACAAAAATTCTGTCTAGAAACTTTTACTCTACCAGCCTGGCCAAGTCAGCAAATGTAAACAACGTTTAATTTTAATTTTATTCTCCCCTGATCTTTAGGCAAAACATAATTTCAAGCTTTTAAAAGTTATTTTCACAGTTCATAGTAATACAATCAAAAACAAATGGAGGATTTTTGTATTTTAATATCATTTTGCAAATTGAAACAGTTAACAATAAATTGTTTACAGCTGTCTCTTTAAAAAGCAAAACTAGAGATACAGCTCCCTCTGTCTTCCTTGGGAATATGTAAACTTGTCTTTTTTACAAATTCACCTGCAAATTATCATGAGTACTGTTTCTGAAATTGAAAAAATGAAGGTCACAAAACATTTTGCCACACAAAAATGCTTGAGTCAAGGTATATAACTCAGAAGGCCAAAAATTAAGGTGCACAATAATAATCCCAAGTCTCAAAGTAAAACTACATAGAATATAATAACATTAGTGAAAATATATAGCCACTTTTTAATAGATTCACTGTCACTAAAGAGGTAACATTGGAAAATTTGTCTTTTTTTTATAATGACCATTGACGTTTAAAAGGGAGGCATTTTTATGTTGTTGGAAGAGTCAATGTAAACGGCAGCACATTAGGGCACATGACTGATTTTGAAATGAAATGAAGGGCACATGATGAGGCCTATCTTAGAACACTCCTTTAATCCACAATGTCTCATCAGGGACTTATGTCTCACTGTACTCCACTATCAGATGTTCAATGCCAAAAAGACACATTTGGTGAAAATCATACCCTACAAAGATGTGGTTGAAGCAAAAGCAATATGAACTATTTTCATTGTACTTTCTCAGTTTCAGCTTATGTGCAATTCATCTTTGCAATGAACAGTAACACTCAGAATAATACTCTGACTTCAGTCAGTTTTGCAAAAACTTATTAAAGAACAGTTATAGCAAAAAAAAATTCAAGGATT